AGCTTCTGCTGCACCCGCAGCAGCGAACAGCACAGCAGCAGCAGCAACAGCAGCAGCAGCAGCAGCAGCAGCAGCGGCAGCGCCACTAACCAATTCATTAGAACTATTCACATCTATTCGCAATTATCCCTATTACCTGGATTATAATTTCTTTATTTATTTATTCATTTGTTATTTTATTTAGTTATTTATTTATTCATTTTATTTATCTATTTTATTTATTATTTTATTTATATATTTATTTGTTTATTTATTTATTTTCACCTGGTGTGATAAATGTAAAAGAAAGAAAGGCTGTTCGCCATGAGACACAAATCCTGAGAAGTTGCTTCTCCAAAGTGGAAGCAAAACTGCAGCAGCAGCAGCAGCAGCAGCAGCAGCAACAGCAACAACAGCAGCAGCGGCAGCGACAGCATAAGTTGGTCCTGGCTTGACGCTGCTGAGCCCCCAGAAAAACTGAAGAAGACCGCCAGGAGAGTTTAGGGTTTAGGGTTTAGAGATTAGGGTTTAGGGTTTAGGGTCTAGGGTTTAGGGTTTAGGATTTACCTGATTGACAAGCAGCTCAATGATGTCCGTCTTTGGCAGTTCCAGTTTCCGCAGAGCGTTCAGCAGCAACGCAATATCTGAAAACCCTAAACCCTAAACCCTAAACCCTAAACCCTAAACCCTAAACCCTAAACCCTGAACCTCGAGCGGCGATCTCTAAACTCCAAACCCTTGTGGGCAGCAAAACACAAGGCTCGTTAGATTCTATAGGCGCCGTTCGCGGGCCAGAAAAGAAGACAAGGGTTTAGGGTTTAGGGTTTAGGGTTTAGGGTTTGGGACCTTTGACGGAAAAATCTTCTATTTGCTTGACAATAAGAGGAGACATCACCTCCACCAAACGCGCATCTCTATACCTGTAAGCACAAACCCTAAACCCTAAACCCTAAACCCTAAACCCTAAACCCTAATTTGCTTTCGAATTTGCTGCACCTGCATTTTTGCTTTTCTTTGTGCGGCGCTGCTCCCGCCTCTGCGGCTCCCGCGCCAGCACGCACTTAGGGTTTAGGGTTTGGGGTTTAGGGTTTAGGGTTTACTTGACTCTCGCTGCTGCATGCAGTGCGGTGGCGATTTGCTGCGGCTGCAGCACAGCAGCAACAAGAGCCAGCCGCCGCACTAAACCCTTCCAAAGTTTTTCATTTCTGGCATTATTTGCTGCTGCTCTGAAAGCAGCAGCAACAGCAGCAGCAGGCTGCAGCAGGCGCGGCCCCGCTGCTGCTGCTGCTGCTGCTGCTGCGTCGCCTGCTGCTGCTGCTGCTGCTCTGCGCCTGCGGCGCGGGGCCGACGGCCGCTGCAGCTGCTGCAGCTTCTGCTGCGCTGCAGCAGCAGCAGCAAATGCAGCAGAAGCCTCTAGAGACATGGTGTGGGGCCCCGAGCAGTTTTTAAAATTCTTTTTTTCTTTTTTTTCCTTTTCAAAATAATTTAAATAATTTAAATTCCCCAAACTTTTTATTTTCTCCAATCCCAACTCAGAAGCAGCAGCAGCACGCCCAGGGCCACCCTCGGGATCCTCGCCGCAGGCGAGCTGCTGCTGCTGCTGCTGCTGCTGCTGCTGCTGCTGCTCTGCAGCGCCCAGTGCCTCCAGAGAGCCTAAAGAGCTTCTGCTGCTGCTGCTGCTGCTGCTGCTGTTGCTGCTGCTGCTGCTGCTGTTTGTATGGAGAGTCCTTGAGAAGCTGCCTCGAGGGCAGTGCGGCGTTGAGGTGTATGTACACCGAGGCTGCTGCAGCTGACGGGGAAGCAGCCGAGAGAAGCGACAGCTACACGAATTTGCTGCTGCTGCTGCTGCTGCTGCTGCTGTTGCTGCTGCAGCTGTTGCTGCTGCTGAGGCTGGCGATGTTGCTGCTGCCGCTGCCGCTCCTGCAGGTCGTGTCGCTGGTTCTGGTCTCAATGCTGCTGCTGCTGCTACTGTTGCTGCTGCTGCTGTTGCTGCTCTTGCTGCAATTGCTGCAGCTGTTGTTGCTGCTCTTGCTGCTGCTGCTGCGCTGCTGTGCTGCAGTAAGGGTTTACAGAGTGCTGGGGGCCCCCTCATGCCCAGGGCACGCGGGAAGAGCCGCTGCTGTTGGCAGCAGAACATTGTGAATTGCTGCTGCTGCTGCTGCTGCTGCTGCTGAATCTGCAGCTGTTGCTGCTGATATTTTTGACCCTGCTGGTGCTGATGCTGCTGCTGATCCTGTTGCTGCTGCCTCAGCCGTCGATTCTGCTGCAGCAACTGCTGCTGCTAATCCTGCCCCAGTCGGCGCTGCTGCAGCTGCTGTTGATTCTGCTGCTGCTGATGCTGCCGCTGCCTCTACACATTCGCTGCTGCTGCATGTGTAGATGCTGCTGCAGGTCTTGCTGCATACGGCTGCAGGTCTTGCTGCATACGGAGCTGCTGTTGCCGTTGCTGCTGCTGCTGCTGCTGGTGATCAGGGGCCCCCAGCATGGGGCCCCTCCTCAACAATTTGGGTATTTTCGTTTTTGCCCCCAATTAATTAAATAAATAATTTAAAATGAAATTGAAAAGAACAAAATCGAAGCCAAATGCCTTAGTGGAAATGCTGAGGTGTATGGACACCTCAGCATTTCGAGAGGGCGAAACCGGCAAGTCGATCGGCTGTACAAACAGCCGAAAAAGAAGCCAAATGGAATCATTTTGGCCAAATTAATTAAATTAAATTGAATTAAATTAAATTAAATTAAATTAAATTCATAAATTTAATTAATTTTATTCGTTTGTTCGTTTTTTTCTCCTTTTCGCTCATACAGATCTGCATGTAGAGTGCCTTGAAGCCTCAGGGCTCTCAGTGAGCAGTTCAGCTAAACCCTAAACCCTAAACCCTAAACCCTAAAGTCTGGAATTAATGAGTAGCAGAGAACGTGGTCAAGAGTTGAGCCCGAAACCCTAATCCCAAGCCTAACCGCTAAACCCTAAACCCTGAACAGTTGCAGGAGAGCTTGAAACCCTAAACCCTAAAACCTGAGCAGCTAAAGTTCATCCTAAAACCCTAAACCCTAAACCCTAAACCCTAAACCCCAAAGTCTCATTTCTTCAACAGAGTGCACCCCGATGATTTACGCCACAGCGGCGCCTTCGAAGTCCGCTAGGCCCTAAACCCTAAACCCTAAACCCTAAACCCTTCTCTTGCTTGTGCAGCAGAGCCGCATTTAACTGCTGCAAGTAGAAATACTATTTAATTGAAATAAACCAATTAATGGTAAAATAAAAAATAAATAAATAAAGAGAAACAAAAGTTGAATTTAGGTTCTTTGTTGCACTTGCAACGAAAAGCTGGGCTTTGTACGCAGCAGCGTAAAAAGGCGACAAACCCTAAACCCTGAACCCTAAACCCTAAACCCTGAACCCTAAACCCTAAACCCTAGGGTCTGCTGCCGCTAAGGGCTCGGTTTCTGTCGCTGAGGTTCAGGGAGCAGCACAGAAAACACACTCCTGCTGCTGCTGCTGCTGCTGCTGTCACCGCCCGGGTACTTGCTGCTGATGCTGCTGCAACTGCTGCTGCTGCTGCTGCTGCTGAGGCTCTCCGCGCGCTTGCTGCTTCTGCCGTTGCTGCTGCCCTGTCGCTGCAGCCGCGTCGCTCTGGCTGCCGCTGCTGCGCCTCAACAGCAGCAGCAGCAGCAGCAGCAGCAGTTGTTTAGATTTGTTTTCTTTGAATGTTTTTAATTTCTTCTCTCAACTTGTTGGACTGCTCGTGCTGCAGCAAAGCCTCTTCGTGGATGTCGCACATGGACACTTGCAGCAAAGACAGGCCCAGGGGCACAGCAGCACCTGCGCAGCAAATTATTTATTTATTTATTTATTTATTTATTTAATTATATATTTATTATTTATTTAGTATCGTTTTGTTTATTTGCTTTTTATTTTATTGGGGAGTCGAAGCAGCTGCTGCGCAGGCGGCAGCGAAAACGAAACGCGGCACGCAGAGCAGCCCAAAACCCTAAACCCTAAACCCTAAACCCTAAACCCTAAACCCCAAGGCATGCGCAAAGGAGAAAAGAAGAGGCCACAAAATAAAACAAACCAGCAGCAAACAAAATTCAATGCTGCAGCCGAGCAGCAGCAGAAATTAAAGTAGCAACAGCAGCAGCGTCAGAGGCCCTGCCCCAGAGCAGCCAAACCCTAAACCCTAAACCCTAAACCCTAGACCCTAAGCCCTAAAACCTAAACCCGGGACAAAAAGGAGAACGTCTCACCCACGATGGCAACGGCGGCCCAGGATAGAATGTTCTTCGCGGAAGGTGACAGAGCCATCGACACTTCCCTCAAACCCTAAACCCTAAACCCAAAACCCTAAACCCTAGCTGCCGGAGCTTCCGTATTGGGGAAGGAGGGAAACGGACGACTCAGGGAGGTGTTGGATGTAGAGGGGCCGCCAGGAGAAGAACAAAAGGCCCTTCTGGGCTGCTAAACCCTAAACCCTAAACCCTAAACCCTAAGCCCTCAGCCCTGAAGGTGCCGCTGTCCGCCGCTGACCGTGGGTCTTCTGGCGGGGGTTCTTGGCCTCTTTTTGGATTCAGTTGAAGAAATTTGAATTCGTGAAATAAATGAATATGAAAAAAGTGTCTTCGGGATCTGGAGTTTGGTGGCGGGAAGTTGAGGTGTACATGCACCTGGTTGGTGGCTGGTCACTGATGTGTCTGCAAAGAAGGAAAACTGGAAACTAATGGAATTAAATGTAAATAAATTTATTAATTTTGAATAATTTTACTTCTCTTCCAGCTTCTGAGGGCTCCAAATTCCCGTTTTTGCCCTTTCGGTCTTCGCTGCGTTTCGCGTTTCGCCGCTCACGGGCTTCGGGTGTACAGACACCTGAATCTGTTTTTGCACGAAAACTCCAACTTGGTCATTTTTTCAGTTTTTTCTTTTCAATTGAGACTTCGAATCAACGGAATTTTGCATTTTATTCTCCGTCTCAGCTTAATTTTCCGCAGATCGTTTTTGTTTCCCTTTGTTTTCATGTTTCCTCTTTCCCCTGGTCCGCTGGATCTTGCCGCCTCCCCCGCCGCGCCTAAACCCTAAACCCTAAACCCTAGCCGCTGATCCTTGTTCTGTGGGGCTTCCTGGACGCGGGCTGGCCCTGAGAGCAAACCCTCGCCGCCGCCGCCGCTGCTGCTGCTGCTGCCGCCGCCGCTGCTGCCGCTGCTGCTGCTGCTGCTGCTGCTGGGGCCTTTGCAATGGGGTTCTTCATTCCCGCTCTGCTGCTGGGGGGCCTCGGCGTGAGCCAGCACTTGGCGTCTCGAGAGATTGACGAGATAATTCGGGAAAGTGAAAAACCCTTTTTCGGGTTTTGGTGGGGTTTAGGGTTTGGGGCTTTGCTGGGACTCTGGCTAGGGTTTAACATCAACTCCATTTATCTGCGGCTGCAGGCCCTTTCCAAGGCGGGGTTTTCGATGCTCACGGGGCAGCAGCAGGAGGCCCAGCCCCCCGCCGCGAGGGTTTAGGGTTTAGGGTTTAGGGTTTAGGGTTTAGGGTTTAGGGTTTGGGACTCCGCGGGTTTTTCTCTCCAACCTTTTCGCCTCTGCCAGCAGCTGCTGCAGGGAAAGCGCCGCTCGCTGCTGTACGTACACCTGAATTCCATTTCAAGCATTTTTCGGTAGTTTTTCTTTTTTCATTTTAAGATCTTTTCTTCATTTCTTTTCTTTTAATTTCCTGTTTGAAAGAAAAAGAAAGCAAAACAAACCTCCAAACAGCCAGCCTCAAGTAAGGAGTGAAGCGACAGATAAACCCATTTTCACGGTCTACGGCCTAGGGTTTAGGATCTAGTGTTTAGGGTTCAGGGTTTGGGGTTTAGCAGGGTTTAGGATTTAGGGTTTAGGGTTTAGGGTTTAGGGTTTAGTGCACTTGGAGAGGGAAGGGTTTAGGGCTTAGGGTTTAGGGTTTTGGGTGCGAGAATAAAGGAATTTGGGACTGGAGGGGTTTACGGTTTAGGGTTTAGAAAAGACAAACCCAGATGAAAAAAAAATAGAACGGAAGTAAAGCAAGAGATAAATGAAGAGTCAAACAGATTTATAAAAGGAAAAACAAAAAACTAAATAAATAAGATAAAAGAAAATAAATGAGAAATTAAGAAATGAAGAGCAAATAGAACCATAAATTCGACAGAAAAAAAAGGCAAAAAAAGAAAAAGACAAAAAGGGAAAAAAAGTAAAATTGGAAAATACGAAAAGACAAAAAGGGAGAGAATTAAAGAAAAGAATAAAAGACAATTGGGAGAATTCGGAAATAAAAGAAAGGCAAAATTAAACAAAAAGTAAATTAAAAATGCGGGGGGATAATAAAAAGAAATGCGAAAACAAAAAAGGGGAAAGAGAAAAGTAGGGGGACAGCAGGTGTACGTACACCGCAGGTGCCTGCCTCTTTTGCGACTTCTAAAAATAAATAAACCCAGTGGAGATTTGTTGTTTGTTCTCTTCTTTTTCTCTTTTTGCTCAATTGTGTCGTTTATTTATTCGGAATTCAGTTCTTTATTCTTTCTTTTTTATTTCGTTTTTCTGTTCTTCATATTACCTCCACTGAGTGCCAATTTATTCTTTTCCTTTTGCTCAATGAAGTTTGTTTTTTCGCTATTTATTTTTTCTTATTTGCATTTATTGCTTTCTAATTTATTTATTTATTTATTTATTTCCATTTTCAGAACTTCATTATTCTACTTTTTGCTTGCTGCTTATTTTGCCCTTTAGTTTTGAATTTCTTGTGCACTACTGAGGTGTACGTACACCTGAAAAGGCCCACTTCACCGAAACTTTCCATAAATTCATTTTTTGCGAAATTTAATAAACAGAAAACACATGAAATCAATAAATAAATTAATAAATAAAATCCGAAAATAAGAAAATATTAAATAAAAAAGAACTTTAACTCCTTTTTCACCAAAGACACAAGTCTAGGGATGAGCTTCTGCATATATTCATACTTGTAAATTTGTATTTAAATAATTCATAAAAATAAATTAAAAAAAAGAAGAAATGGATTTATTTGTAAATGTGAAGGCACAAAAGTACTCTTCAAATATGAACTCAGGTGTACATACACCTGAAGACCCCACACAGTTTCGAGATTTTCAGAAAGTGGAAAAGACAATTTAAATGCCATTAATATAAAACTTCTTCTTTTGTTTTGCTTTTTTTATTTCTTTCTTTTCGTTTTTTAAATGGCAGCTCGACAAACCATGGAAATTGTTTTGCTGCCAGCGCAGCAGCAACTGCTCTAGGTGCTTTTGTATTCAATGCTGCTGCTCTGCTGCTGCCGCTGCTGCTGCTGCTGCTGCTCTGCTACTGCTGCTGCTGCTAGGGGACTACGACCACCGCCTTGCAAACTTCAGCAGCTTAAAGCTCGAAAGAGATATTTAATTTTAAATCAAAAAGGTTTTAATTGAAATGGCATTTAAAGGTAGGAAGAGACAGAAGGAGACACGCTACTGCTGCAGCTGGAGCAGCGGCTGCTGCTGCTGCTGCTGCTGCTATTTATGCTGCTGCAGCTGCTGCAGCTGCTGCAGCAGCAGCAGCTGCCGCTGCTCTCTTCTGAGCTGGAGGCCCTACGAAGTCCTCTTCTATTTTCATTTTATTTCATAAAAGTTTTTATTCTGCTGAGGCCGACTCAGTCGTGGTTTTGCTGCTTCGTCGGCGCCCCTCAGTTTTCTAGGGTTTAGGGTTTAGGGTTTAGTGTTTAGGGTTTAGGGCTTGTACAGCATGTTCACACTCATGCTGGCAGAGCCTACCGTAAATAAAAAAGCAACAGCAGCAGCTGCAGCAGCAACAACAGCTCCAGTAACGTCAGCACCAGCAACAGCTGCAGCAACAACAGCTCAGCAGCAACAGCCTCAGCAGCAACAGCCTCAGCAGCAGCAGCCTCAGCAGCAACAGCCTCAGCAGCAGCAGCCTCAGCAGGAGCAGCTTCAACAGTAACAGCAGCAGCAGCTGCTGCTGTAGCAACAGCTGCAGTAACAAGCACTCGAGAGAGCCGCTGCGCAGCAGCAGCGCAGTAGACATACTCTGGAAGCTCTACAGCGACGTCTCGCGAGTGTAATTTATTGAAATTAATTGAAATGAAATAAATTTGTGGAATTCAATTTAAATTGAAGAGCGGAAAAGTAAGAAGTGAAGAGCGAAAGTGGAAGATCGGCGAGTGTCGAGCCCGCGGGGTGTTTCTGGGCGTTTCTGCGCGAATGGAGGCTCAAAAAAGTATTTTCAAGAAATAAAAGGAATTATTTTTAATTTTAAATTAATTTAAACCCCCGAAATTGGAATTTCAGGCGAAAATTGGCCGGTCGCGACACCTCGAGTTGCGGCGGCGGAACCGGCGCGGGTGCTGGTCTGGGGTGTACGTACACCAGCGGCAGCGGTTTCTGCATCCGCCGTTCAACTTTTTGCATCACTTTTAATTTTTTTCCGATTTTTGGTTTTTGAATTTAAAATTCATTTCTTTTTTCCCCGGTAAACAAAGACGTTTCTTTTGCACCCTTGGGGCCACTGGACCAGCGGTGAGTCGACGCGCTCCTCTCTTCTCCTTTTGCAACTTCTGCTGCTTCTCTTTTCTCTTCAAATCTTTTCCTTCAAAATCTTTTTAACTTTATTTCTCCATCTTTTTCTCTTCTCGTCGCTGCTGCTGGACAAACGCGGTCTTCTCCGTCCCCCCGTTTCCGATCCAGGGTCTAGCGTTGGGCTTTAGGGTTTAGGGTTTAGGGTTTGGGGTTTGGGGTTTAGGGTTTAGGGTTTCTGGAAATCACATTCAACTGCTCCAAACGAGATAAAGAGTCAAAACACACAGAAGCAGCTGCAGCAGCAAAGAGCAATTGCCACTTTTGAACTTTTTTTTATTTTTGTTTTTTTCCCAAAGTTTTTTTCCTTCACCCATCCTTTATCTCCCCTCTTGTTGCTTTTTCCATTTCACGCTTGCCCAGAACGCCAGCTGCTGCTGCTGCTGCGGCTGCTGCAGCTGCTGCTGCTGCTGCTGCATTGGTGTTTTGTTGAGTGCGTGGGTGTGTGTGTGCTGCTGCAGCTGCTGCTTGTCTGTCTGTGGCATTAAAGCGGAGCTGTAGGGCCTTCGTGTCTCCCTCATCTTCTTTCTTCAAGCTTCTCCCTTGGAGTCTGCTGCTGCTGCTGCTGCTGCTGCTGCTGCTGCTGCTGGGGCGATGGAGGCGCCGGGTGCTGCTGCTGCTGCCGGGCTGGCAGCAGCTTCGAGCGGGGTGTTTCTGTCGCACTTCGAGGAGCAGCAGGGGCCCCTGGACTCTGCAGCAGCAGGAGATTACTTCCGAAGTTATTTGGAAAGAGAAAAGAGCAGCAGCAAAAGAATAATCCACGAGAGAGAGCTGCCGCGGGGGCCCCCCCACCGCTTCGAGGGGGGCCCCCCGGGGCCCCTGGGCTTCGGGTACCCTTTTTCCGACGACAAGGACCCCGGAGTTGCTGCTGTTGCTGCAGCGCTCTTCGGCTGCAGCGCAGCTTTTGCTGCTGTTCCTCTTGCTGCACGGCCTGTTTTCAAGAAGAGACAAAAAGGAGATTTAAATTCCGATTGGGCAAATGCTTTTGTCACAAGAGTGGACCCTTGCGAATGTGCTGCTCCCGAGGAAACCTTCACGCCCTTCGAGCTCGCCAGGTACCGCGACAACTAGCAGCAGCAGCAGCAGCAGCAGCAGCAGCAGCAGCAGCAGTAGCAGCGCGGCCGCGGGGGAGGAGGTGGCAGTAGAGGCGGCGGCAGGAGCTGCGGCGGAAGCGGCAGCAGCAGCTGCAGCAGCAGCTGCAGCAGCAGCAGCAGCAGTGGACTACTACGGCTCTGTTTAAAAGCATTTTTGGCTTTTCAATTCGGAGAAGAACTCAGCTGCGGAGAGTGCTGAGTTGTACGTACACCGGAAAGCACTTTGCGGATTTGAGTTCCGCGAAAAGGCGAAATTGAATTTCACTTTTTTTCTCTTGTGCAGCTTTGAGGGTTTGTTGGGAGAAAATGAAGAAAATAAAAAGAAATAAAAAGAATAAAAGAAATAAAAAGAAATAAAAAGGCGCAAAAAGAAATAAAATGAAATATGAAAGAACGAAATGAGAAAAAAGTTTTTAAAAAAATTCAAAACTAAAAAATTCACAAAGGGTACAGACACTGGCTTGAAAGCCCCGCAGTACGGAAGGTTTTAACTTTTCCTTTTAAACGGTTTTTGGTTTAAAGTTCGCATCAACGATTAGGGTTTAGGGTTTAGGGTTTAGGGTTTTGGGCTGACGTCGGAGACGTAATGCAGTGGGTTTGGGGTTTAGGGTTTGGGGTTCGAGGCTCGCGTCCAGCGTTTCACGCTGCGGGTCTAGAGTTTGGGGTTTAGGGTTTAGACTCTAGGGTTTAGGGTTTAGGGTTTAGGGTTTAGGGTTTGGGTCTGAAACAAACAAAATTGAAAAGAAAACATTTAAATGCATAAAAAAGAATCGGGGAATAAGAGGAAGCAAAAAAGATGCAGCTTTTAAAAGTAAAAATAAATTTCAAGAATTATATTTCTTTTGAATTTGCTGCCCATTATTATTTTCAGCAGCAACAACACACAGACACACGAGTTGCTGCCAGCAGCCGCAGTGGGCTTTTGCTGCTGCTGCTGCTGTTGCTGCGGCAATTGCGGCACTCAGACGGACAGCAGCAGCAGCAAAAACAGCAGCAGAAACAGCAGTAGCGGCAGCAGCAGCAAAGACAGCAGCAGCAGCAGCAGCAGCAGCAATCCATTTGGAGAGTTCTTCCCGCGAGCTCACTGGGCGGCACTGTGAATATGCACTAACAGGCGCAGAGACTGCTAAACTCTAAACCCTAAACCCTAAACTCTAAACCCTAAACCCTAAATGGTTGATCAAAGCCGCAGCAAGTTTCGAAAATTGCCTCTAGGTTTTACATTTCCAGAATTGCAAGCAGCAAACCCCTGTGTGAATTTTCTTAGATAATTTCGCCGCCGCCGCCGCCGCCGCAGCAGCAGCTGCTGCTGCTGCTGCAGCGGCTGCTGCAGCCTTGTGCAGGTGTTCAGGCAATGCAAACTTTAGGAAGCAAACAAAATAAAGAATTTCTTGTTCTTTTTCATTTCACTTTTTTAAAGTTTTCATTTTTCTTTTAAAAGTTTCCATTTTAAACCTCAAGTGTCTCTTTGCTGCTTTTCAAAAAGACCTTTTTGGCAAGTGGCATTTACTCTGCTGTACGTACAGCTGAGTAAATGCCACTTCTCCTAACACTTGAACTCTGCTGCACCTCCCAGCTAGCTGTGGCTAGCTGTGGCTACCTGTGGCTAGCTGTGGCTAGCCGCGGCTAGCTGTGACTATTTCTGTCTAGCTGTGGCTAACTGTGGCTGGCTGTGGCTAGCTCTGGTGGCTAGCCATGGCTAGCTGTAGCTAGCTGTGGCTAGCTGTGGCTAGCTGCGGCTAGCTGCGGTAGCTAGCTGTGGCTAGTTGTAGCTAGCTGTGGCTAGCTGTGGCTAGCGGTGGCTAGCTGTGGCTGGCTGGAGCGGGTGAAGCTGCCAAGTGGCTTGTGGGGCGGCTCCCCGGGCGTGGCTGCGGGCAGGCTTTAAAGCTTTGAGGTTTTATTTCTTTTGGGATATTTTAAATTCTAAATTTAAAAAATAATTTGTAGTAGAACTTAGTCTCAATATGGAAGCAGCAGCAGCAGCAGCAGCAGCAGCAGCAGCAGCAGCAGCAGCAGCAGCAGCAGCAGCAGCAGCAGCAGCAGTTTGGTGTGTGTGGGTGTGGGGGTGGTGTGCGAGTAATGGCAGCTTTGGCTTTCTGGATTAATTTCAGCTTTTTGGATTTAAAATAAATAATTATGAATTAAAAACAAATAATTATGAATTTAAAATATATAAAAATAAAACAATATGTTCAAATATAAACCTTTTTGCATTTACTTGTGCACAGCGGTGTGTGTGGCGGGGCGGGCGAGGTAACCCGTGCGTCTTTGCGGAACACACTCGCGAAATGGTTTAATGGAATGGTTTAAAAGAGTAAAAAATGAAAAAAATGAAAAGAAATAAACGAAAAGAAACAAATGAAAGAAATAAATGAAAAGAAATAAATGAAAAGAAATAAAGCTGCGCTGTCGTGACACCAGGCTGGCAAGAACATCGAGAGCCTGCACCGGCAGCGGCGCCGGCGGTGCAAAGCCAATTTGGCTCGGAAAAAGTTGAATTTTGGTTTCAAATTGAATTAAAAGGAAAACAAAACTAAAATAAATTCCTTTTGAAGAATTTGAACGGTAAAAGCCGCCGGCCCAGGCTGCTAGACAGCTCGACTGTGTGGTGCTGCTGCTGCTGCTGCTGCTGCTGCTGGTGCGGCTGGCGGCTGCTGCAGTGGCGCTGCAGCTGGTTGAAATCAAGGGAAAGCAGAGTTCTAAAGAGGTATTTTCACTAATTTTGGGTTTTTCCTTTCAACTGATTTCTTCTTTGGTGAGTTTATTTCGCTTTGCTGCAGCAAGCGGCTCTGCTTCCCACTGCAGCAGTTCGATGCAGCAGTTTGCAGCGAACACGCCGGTGGTCCAGACCACTGAAAGCGCTTTCCTTTCAACTTAGACAAACAACAGCTCACTCTCCAAAACAAATTCAAGCTTTTGCGCAGCATCTGCGAAGCAGCTTCCCCTCCCGCTGCTGCGGTTTCGCGCTGCTGCTGCTGCTGCTGCTGCAGCGTTAGCTGCACGAAGGCGTTTGCTGCGGAAGTGCTTTTTGGGGGGGTTGTGGAGTGCGTTGGTTCTGTTTGCTTGGGCTGCGTGGTGCCGGGAGCAGCAGCAGCAGCGAGGCAGCAGCAGTTGTGGGGGTTTGTGTGCAGCAGCAACTCGCGCGAACCTGCAGAAAATGCTGCAGCAGGAGCTGCAGCGGGCGCGGTCCGGCGCAAACTCCGGCTTCTACTCGAGCTTCCAAGAGCTGCCGGGGCCCCCGGTGGAGAGCAAAGCGCAGGAGTTCTTCGCAGCGCGGCGGCGCGCAGAAGCTGCTGCTGCTGCTGCTGCTGCTGCTGCTGCAGCAGCAGCGGCCCCCGAACTGCCGCAGCCGGGGCCCCACGGGTACCGCCCGGGGCCCCCGGGGCCCCTGCACTTCGGAGTGCCCTTTGGGGACGGCTGGGACGCGGGAGTTGCTGCTGTTTCGCATGCAATGTTCGGAAGTTCGGGGGCTTTCAAAGCAATTCCAATTCCTGTTCGAAGTGTCTTTCGCCGCAGAAGGCCTGGAGACGCAGCGCCCGAGTGGCCCAACGCCTTCGTCACCCGCGTGGACCCCTGCGAGTGCGCAGCAGCAGCAGCAGCAGCAGAAGAGGCCTTCACGCCCTGCGAGATTGCGCGCTACAGGGACTCCGCCGGCCGGCCCCACACCACGCTGGACTTTTCGCCCCACCACTGAGCCGCTGCTGCTGCTGCTGCTGCTGCTGCTGCTGAGGGGCGGCGCGCGGCCGCGCGGGGAAACGCGGCTTTCGCGCGGTCCCGGGAGCCCGCGGGGTGGGGAACCGGTGGACCAGACCACTGGACCAGTGGTCTGCTGCTGCTGCTGCTGCTGCTCCGGAAGGGCAGCAGCAGAGGCGCAGCAGCGGCAGCGCAGCAGCAGCACACCCGCGGCTCCGCGGGCGCCGCCAAAGTGCGAGCCAGGCAGCCCTGCTGCTGCGTTGCTGGGCTTTTCAAACACAGATCTTCTTCAGTTTGATCAAACTTAACAAAGTTTGCCTTTCATTTCGCAAAATGCGCATTAAAAACTAAAAGCTTACTTCTTTCTTCGCAAAAGTCGCTCAAAACGTTCAAGTGGCAAACAGCCGCGCGCACCCGGCGCAGTGCGCTGCACCCCGAGGTGTACGTACACCCCAGCTTTCCGCGGTTAAGCGCCAACAGATTCGACTCCGTCTGCCCTTTCAATAATATTCTGCTGCACTTTTTTATTTGAATTATACACCTTTATTTGAATTGTACACTTTTATTTGAATTATAGAAAGTAAATCGAACTAAGCCTCTGGAGAGCTCCGGAAAAAGTCGGTGTCTGCTGTTGCTGCTGCTGTTGCTGCTGCTGCTTTAAGAGTTGCTGCTGCTGCCGTTGCTGCTTGAAGAGCTGCAGTCGAGAAGCAATAAGGGCGCAGGAGTAGCCTGGCAATTATTAGGATAAGAAATGGCATTATTAGTTGCATTTGCTGCTGGAGTTGTCAACTGGGCTTGAGAGTCTGCAGCAAGCTGCTGCGGCCAGCCCGCAGCAGCCGCTGCAGTCTTGCTGCTAAGCCGCAGCGGCCAGCCTGCAGCAGCAGCTGCAGTTTTGCTGCTGCCCACTGCCACGGGGGGGTGTGGGGAAGCAGCAAACAAATGGCCCTGAGTGTCTAGACAGTGCAGGGGTTGCTGCTGCTCCGGCTAGTCCCGCCCCTCTTCCTGCTGCAGCAGCAGCAGCCGCTGCTGCTGCTGCAGCAGCCGCCGCCGCAACGCCAGCGGCAAATGCGGGGGCGGCCGCTGCTGCCCAGCGCGTTCACTGCATGCGGCCCTTCCAAAGAAAAGATTCAAAACTAAATAATTAATTAATTAATTAATTAATTAATTGATTGATCGATTAATTAATTAATTGATCAATTAATTGATTAATTAGCTAAAAGCTGCAGCAGGAAGGCCTTCGAAGGCCTCTTTGATGAGCTCTTTTTGCCTCGCGTTCAACAGTTTGGGATATTTGACTTTGACGGAAATGAACAAGTCCCCGAAGGCTGCGGACTTGTGTTTTTTTGGCATTCCTTTTCCTTTTATTTTGAGGACTTCGCCATCTTTCGTGACTTCTTTTCGTTTTATTTCCACTTCTTTCTTGTCCAAGTGTTCAAACTTCACTTCAAATCCAACTAATGCTTCCTTCAAGTCGATCTGCAAACTCATGTGCAGGTCGTCGCCCTTCCGGGTGTACCTACACCCCAGGCATGCGCAAACGCATGCAAAACGCATGCAAAACGCATGCAAAACGCATGCACCAAATGCATGCATGAAGTGCGTGCATAAAACGCCCTTTTCCCCCACTTTGCGCAATTTAAGTGCTGCTGCTGCTCAGTTTTAATTTATTTCTCCTTTTGCAATTCATTTGAACTCCCAATCAACAAAGTTTACAACTTTCCCTTTTGCCGCTGCAGTGCATGCACTGGGGGCCCCACTTTAGCTTCCGGCCATTTCTAAAAGCCACTGAAGCAGCAATTCACTAAACTTGGCTTGCTGCAGCAGCAGCTGCTGCTGCTGCTGCAGCCGCCGCTGCTGCTGCTGCTACAGCAGCCTGCACTAAACCCTAAAACCCCAACCCCCCCAGCTGCTGCCGCAGCAGCCGGCGCACCTGCAGCAGCAGCCCGCGCCCCTGCAGCAGCAGCCCCCGCACCCGCAGCAGCAGCAGCAGCAGCAGCAGCAGCTCACCGGTGGTGCGGCAGCTCCTCTATGACGAGGACCAAGTCCCCCGGCTCGTGGCCTATTCTGTGTTCTCCCATTCCCTCGAAAATAATTTTGTCTCCAGATTTCATTCCCCTTTCCACTGCTGCTGTCAGCTCTATCGACTCCAGCTCCGTCACCCCGCTCGGACACTCCTGCGCGCAAACCCTAAACCCTAAACCCTAAACCCTAAACCCTAAACCCTAAACCCTAAACCCTAAGCCCTGAACCCTAGACCCTCAGCCCTGAATTCCACCAGGCCCTAAGCGCTAGACCGCAAATCAAGCCCCCAAGACCAACCCCCGACGCCGAAACCCGAACCGCTGAACCCTAGCCCTAAACCCTAAACCCTAAATCGTGGTTTTTGGCTTACTTTGCATCCGCGGATCCAGGCCTTTCCCTGGTCGACGCAGGAAGGGTCTTGGACTTGGTTTTGAACAATAAATCCGGGGCCCATTTGCTGCGTGAAGAGGCGAACTCCGGGGCCCTTGCAATCCTTTTGCTGCTGCATGCAATCTTCTGCATTGATGCAGAGAACTGGGCGCGAGAAGCTGAACTGCAGCAGCGCGCCGTCGTACAGCTGCTGCAGCGCAGCAGGAAGCTGCAGCACGCTGCTGGGGGCTTGTGGGGTTTCCCGCGGAACCCCCCGACCCCCAAAACCCCCAAACCCTCCAAACCCCCCAAAAAACTCCGAAAACACATCAAAGGGGTGGCCAGAGTCCTGGCCCGCGCCCTGCTGCAGCCTGCGCAGCAGCAGCAGCAGTCGCAGCAGCACGTTAAGCGGGAGGTGCAGCAGCAGCGGCAGGTGCAGCAGCAGCAGGTGCAGCAGCAACAGCAGCAAATGCAAAAACCAGCAGCAGGTGCAAAATAAGCACAAAGAGCAGCAGCAGCAGCAGCAGCAGGCGCAGCTGCAGCAGCAGCAGCAGTACCGCTCCAAGCCTGCGTGGCCCTGGGTGTCGTAGACTTTTCTTTTTTCTGCATTGCTGAGGACTTCGTAGGCGTAAGAGATTTCCCTGAATTTGGCCTCAGCGTCGGGGCTTTTGTTCTTGTCGGGGTGGAACTTCATGGAAAGCTTTCTGTAGGCTTTCTTGACTTCGGTGGGCGAGGCGCTGCGCTGCAGCCCGAGGGTGGCGTACAAGTTTCCCGGCTGCGAAGGCTCAGCAGCAGCAAAAAGAAGTTCAAAAACTTGAAAGGAATGCGGGGGAAAGCAGAAGAAGCAGCCGGAGAGAGCCAGCGCGCCCGCGGCCGCGAGAACTCGCGCCGCGCTTAACAGACCCATCGCGCGGAATATTTCGGGATTCCACGGAGAAACTCGGAATGTTTCGCCGCGAAGTTCACAGCATTAAACCTAACTGCAAAGCCAGCGACCCAAAAACGAGCAGAAAGCTCTAAAAAGGAACGGATCGCCGCCGCCGCCAAACGCTCACGCCCGCGAAACTCCGCACGAAAAACCCCCAACGCCCGCCGCAAGCCGCGCCCGCCAACTCGCCAGATCTTAGGCTCCACTTGCAAAATGCGCAAAGTTTGTTGTGGGATTCAAACGCAGAAATTCAGACACTTCGATGCAAGAAGAACCGCATGCACGGCGAGACGCCAAACTCAGCCGGCCAGCGCCAGGAGAGATCCGCCCTCCTCCTGTCTGGCCTTCTATTTGGGAAAAACGAATTATTTAAATTCATTACAAGCGCAAAAAAATTCAACATTAGTTCGCCGCTAATGTTCTGCGGCCTACAGACAAACAAGCCCCAACGCACGACAGAAACACGAATGGCTGCTGATGCAGGGCCGAACGCTCATCACCGCATTTCACAACGCGAAAGCACCAACTATAAATCAATGCAATTACAGAACAAAATGAAATATTTAAAATAGGAACACAATCGCGGCCAATTTGGTGGGGGATCGCGAGGCCTGCTGCTCCCACGCACAGTGGCAGGAGGAAAAGAACTGGGACACCCTACGCATACCTGCAGCATGCATTACAAAGACTAAAACTGTTCTTCTTTGGTTCATTTAAAGCTCCAAAAGTGCGTCCCAAGTGCATATAAATACCACAACTGAAGCCTTCTAGACGCCTTTCCCAAGCTGGCAGGGGGCTGCGCCTGCAGCGTTGGCGTACTCAACTTCACAAGATTAGGGACTTCAAGGCACTGCTGAGGAGAGTAAAAGGCGACACTTTTCACAAGGAACATTAAAAAAAGAAGAAAGCAAAAAACTAATTAGATGTGTGGGGGGAAGACGAGAAAGCCTAGGTCCATTTTGGCCAGAAGGCCATTCTGTGGAGTCTTGCACATGCAGTTGCATGCCGTTCCAAATGAATCAACAGGGTGTTCCTTTTTATAAGCAGTAAGGAAAGATGAATAAAGATCTAAGAGCTGTCAAGAGAATTAAGGAAGAACTTTCTGCCTTCGTCACTTGATATTGGATCTGAGTTTGAATCTGAATGCAAAATCTTCCCGTACCCTTCTGAATCTTCCAAAACAGGTTGTTTATCAATTGTGTACGTCCCGAAACAAGTTGTTTTTCAGTTCTTCATCGCTCAGAGAAGGTTATTTCTCAATGGTGGCTCTTTATTGTCCTTTAAGTTGTCGTTTTGCATTTAAAAAGGTCAGAAATCATGCAAATAAGATCTAATTTCGCTGTGCTGAGGTCTAGAACCTCACTGCAGACTTGCTTGGCTTTTCGTGTTTAATAGGTTTCTTAAGCAGCCAGGAGCTTCGGCTGGGCCGCCCGAAATTCAGTTCAACTTCTGAACTTAGTGCAGCTTTTCCCGTTGAAAGATCGATAAGATAATATGAAATTCAGAAAATAAAAGAGGAGTTATGACGGAGTTAATCTTAAACATGCTGTTTGGCTGGTGAGACCTCCCAGCACTTGAAAGTGTGAAGAGCCTCCGCCGCCGCAATGTGGAAGACGAAAGTGACCACACAGCCTCTTGTTCGACAGAAAAATGAGGTTTCCTTCAGAATTTGGAAGTAAATTCAATGAAATTATTATTTAAATCATCGTTTGTTGCAGTTTGTGCGACATTAAGACCACTTTGGGCGTGTTCGTAGCTTTTGGAAATCTACTTTCTTGCACGTGGCGGGTCTTGCGCTGAATTTCTTCTCTTTTAGATGATCGGGCCGGCGCTTTCCCATTTCCTTGTCTTTCGTAAGGCTTTTCATATATATATCTGCGTATATTCGCTAGTGTTCTATTTAGTGGCACCGAAGAACCCGCGAAGTTCCTTCCCCGCGTCCAGTGGGACTATATTTCAGAACCCGCGATAACTTCCCCTTACTTAAGCAGAGAATGGCGAATGCGGCACTTTGCGCGGCGGTGCACCGGCTGTAGCCAGGAAAGTTCGGAATTGCTTGATGAAATACCGGAAGTGGTGGCCAACACAGGTGGCCTTCCAAATTGCACGTGCACGTATTTCTCAAATGAGGAGCAAAATATACAATTTCGGGAAAGTGATTTTCAAAAACTAGGCGAAAAAAGAGCCCTAATCGCTCTGCAGCGCGGGAACTCGCACCGTGCATTGCACGGAGTCTCTGCCCCATTGCTGCCAGCCCCAGATCCTTCCTTGCACAAAAGTAGGAACAGCCAAACCCAGCGAAGTGCCCTCTTTTTTCTGGAGTTTTCAGCGGCATTGCACTCGGAACGTGTTTATGTTGGTGCATTTTACTTTTCAGGGGGACTTCTGGGGTTCGTTGTAGTGCCTAGCGCCAGAGCACCGACTTCACTGCAGCCGTTCCGAAGGCGTTGTCGAGTGTCTGGAGGAGGAAACTCCCATCGTCCTTTCGAGTTGTCCGACACAGGAAGTAGATTTCGAAAATGAATAATATGAAGGGGATGCTAGAGTAGCCAAAACGGGTCCATCTGCGAGGAACCCAACCCCCGCGCTCCACAGGCCGGAATGCCAGGAAAAGGGAAATCCGCCGCTGCGCCGCCCGCCACGCGGTTCCGACTTGTGTTCCTACTGCAATAGGTAGCTCGGCAACAAAGCGTAAAATAATCCCTATTTTATTTGTATTAGTTGAGTTCGACACACCCGTAGCTGGGTGGGAAGTTCCGGTGACGGCAGCACCCCCGGAGGCAACGTCGATCTGTCGTTCAGCAGGAGGCGGGAACCTGTCGGAAACGCCTCTGCGGAGCCATGCAGGCAGTTCGTTCTTTTATATTTTTGCCAAGTTTTGGAATGCGTTCAAGTTTCGCGGTGTGAGTGGTGTGCTGCGCCGCAGCGTAGGCATGTGGCCACGAGCTTCCCGCCGGCCGTTTGCACAAATGGTGTCGATGAATTAATGGCGCGTTTCTCGTCCCACGCCCGTCGTTTTCAGTCCGGTGCTAAATAAGGTAATTTGGGTATTTTTGCTTCCTTCCAGGAGCAGCTTTCTGGCCTGAGGGCCGGCGGCGATGAGCAGGCAGGCCCAGCGCATCTTCCGCAGCGCCAGCGGCATCCACCCTCGCGGCAAGATGCGGGGCGGTTTTGCAAACGCAATACTTGAAGAGGGGGAGTTCGGGGCCCGGAGCCACCGCGCAGCAGCTCACGGGAAGCAGCTGGGGCCCAGCCGGCTGCACTACGTGGGTTTCGCCGTGGCCACCGTGCTGATCTACACGATCATCTGCAGATCTCTGGCGGCTTCTTCCGAAGGCCTGCGGCTGCAGCACGGGTTCGGGGAGGACCTGTGGCTGCCCTACAGCAGCGCGTCGGCGCTGGAGAGGCGGCGGGAGCAGCAGCAGCAGCAGCAGCAGCAGGAGCGGGGGGGCGCGGCGGAGGGCGTTTCGTCCTGGGAGGAAGCAGGAGAGTCCTCCTCCGGGGGAGCTGCTGCTGCTGCTGCTGCTGCTGCGGAGCCGAGCTCGCCGTCAGACCCTCCTTGGGACTACGACTCGTGGGGTTTGCCGTCTCTGGAGCAGTTTGAAAAGACTTTGTCTCCGGAGCTGCGGCGGCAGAAAGCAGCAATTGCAAGTTTCGCTGCGCGGTTTGTGCAGCAGCCGCGGGTGCCGTCGCGGCGGGAGCTGGCGTGCGCGAGCAGCGTGGCGAAGGCAATTTCGAAAGGAACTTCAAACAAACTAATTGGAATGGTGCTTCCGCTGCAGCACGTGGCGCCGATAAGCAGCATGGCGAAGCAGCAGCACGTGCCGCGTCTCGTGCGGATCTGCAAAGTCCTGGGGGAGGGCTTTTCAACTTTGGCGGTGGAGGTGGAGGACCTGGAGGCCGGGGGCGTGCTGGTGATGCGCATTCGCAAGTACCACAAAGACGCAGTTCGGAAGTTTGAAAATTCGGAAGTTTTGTTTCTGGAAGTGAAGAGCGAGATGGTGGCGGAGGAAGACGCGGTGCGGCAGGCCTGCGGCAACGTGCCTGCGGACTTGGTGGCTGCGAAGAAAGGCTTCGCCGTGCCGCTTTTCACCGCGGAAATTGCAAGTTCTCCGGAGTTTTCAGTTTCCGAAGACCACTACGTGTTCGGGCACGTGGAGTTGATGGAAAAGATGTGCGGATCGCTGGCGGATCTGCAGAAACAAGACAGCGGCGCGCTGCAGCAGAGCCGCGACTACGTGGCGCAGCGGCTGCTGCAGCTGGTGCTCAAGGTGCAGCAGTGCGGCCTCAGCCACAACGACTTGAAGTGGGCCAACGTTTTGCTGCAGCCCGACGGCGCCTTCTGCCTCAGCGACTTCGGCTCCAGCGTGGCCTTCGGCCGCGCCTTCGGCAGCCTCACAGCCACCACTCCGCAGTACCAGGAGCCGCAGCAGGCGCTGCGGCCCTCCGCCCCCTACGAGGACCCCTACACGATGGCGCATGCAAACAGCGACTTGTGGTCTTTGGGGGTGCTGCTCTTCGAGCTCTTCACCGGCAGCGGGGCCCCCTACGGCCAGGGGGCCCCCAAGAGCCCCCGCGCCCGGGCCAGGGACCTCGCCGAGAGGCTTCTCAAGCAAAAGGTCCGTTCAGATGTGCTTTGGCCCAAACTCGCTGCAGCCAAAGTCCCCCACAGGTGGGCCCAGCTCATCGCCAGGCTCCTCGAGCCCAACAAGGCCCACAGGATCACGGCCTGGCAGATCCTCGAGGAGTTCCCAGACCTCACGCACCACGTCCCGGAGTGAGGCCCCCTGCATGCGCCTGCATGCGCTTGCATGCGCCTGCATGCGCCTGCATGCAAGTTCTTCCACGCTTGCGTCCAAGCTCTTCTTCAAGGCCTGCATGCAAGCTCTTCAAGGCTGGCACGCAGGCTCTTTGGGACTTGCATGCGAGCTCTTCTTCAAGACTTGCATGCAAGCTCTGCAAGACCTGCATGCAGTCGCTTTAAGACTTGCACGCAAGCTCTTCAGGACTTGCATGCACTCCCTCAGCACTTCCATGCAAGCTCTTCAGGACTTGCATGCAAGCTCTTCAAGGCTTGCATGCACTCTCTTGAAGACTTGCGTTCAAGCTCTTCAAGGCTTGCATGCACTCTCTTGGAGACTTGCATGCAGGCTCTTCAAGACTTGCATGCAGTCTCTTTTTCAAGACTTGCATGCAGTCTGTTTTTCAGGACTTGCATGCAGTCTCTTCTTCTAGACTTGCATGCATAGGATCTCCCTAGGGCCTTGCGGCGGGCTTTGCTGGGGCCCTCTCGTTCAAGTCTTGCATGCAGTTGGGGCCTTGTTGAAGTGTTGCATGCATCTGGGCCTTTCTTGTTGAAAAGTTGCATGCGTCTGGGGCTTTCTAGTTCAGTAGTGCATGCGTCTGGGGCTTTCTTGGTGCATGCATCTGGGGCTTTCTAGCTCAGTATTGCATGCATCTGGGGCTTTCCTGTTGCATGCATCTGGGACTGTCTTGTTTAGTGTTGCATGCATGTGGAGCTTTCTCGTTGCATGCGTGTGGGGCTTTCTTGTTGCATGCATGCGGAGCTTTCTTGTTGCATGCATGCGGGGCCCTCTTGTTGCATGCATGCGGGGCTTCTTGTTGCATGCAAGGAAGTAAGTGCGGGCCACTTGGCACGGCGATGTGGCCGTGGCTTGCGAGCTGGTTGAGTGGATTTGAATTATGAATTGTGTCTTTTATTTGTCTGCTGCTGCAGCAACTGCTGCTGCAGCAGCTGCTGCTGCTGCAGCAGTTGGTTTTCACTTTTATGTTTTCGAAGGGTGGACTTTGCGGCGCTTTTTAACGCCTTGCATGCAAGCGCCTTTGCATGCAAACCGCCTTGCATGCGAAGGCCTCCGCATGCAAGCCACTTTGCATGCAATCCACTTTGCATGCAAAGGCCTTTGCATGCAAGCCTCTTTGCATGCAAGCCTCTTTGCATGCAAACCCGCACAGCACTTGCTCTTCTTTGTTGTGCAGTTACGTTTTGTGGCGCCTCCGGGGGCCCCCGCCACCCATCTTCTGCAGTCAACGTTTGAAGACTTCTGCAGTCTTTTTAATGTCTTCAACAACTTTGACTTAGTGCAAAATTCAGCTTTTTGTTTGAGACTTCTTAGAACTCCTCCGCCGCTCGCAGGGCTCTTTGGCCTTCAACTTCGGCCTAAAGTTATATTTGTTTGAGTCATTTTAGCGAAAAAGTGCAAACAGACTTCTTACAGATCAAACGCAGTGCTGCAGCCGCCTGCAGCGGCGCCCGCTGCACAGGGGGCCGGTGCAGGGGCCGGCTTGAGGGCCTGGTTCAGCTTGGGAAAAGGAAAGCTTTCAACATTTTGTTGCATTTGGAAATGGAGCGAAGACTTGGGACTCAGAGAGTTCTTGTGTGGGTGCGTGGGCCTCGAAAAGAAGAAGCTGGCCAGCTGGACAAGCTGGGGGTTGCCCGGCGGGGCCTCTGGGTCCTTTAGACAGCTTTCCCCTGGCCACGAAGTTGCAAGAAAGCTGTTTAAAAGGCTTGCAGAGTAAGAAAAGACCCAAAGGGGCGGAGGTGTATGCAGTTTCAAGCCAGCAGGTGCTCTGGTTCCCCGCGCCATTAGTGTTTTCGCGCGCTGTGCAGCAGCTGTAGAGCCCCCGGGCTCGCTTTTCCGTGTGAAATTAATTAATAAGTTCATATTTTGCGAAAGAAATGGCTTTTAGCGCTGGGGATCGGACTTGTACGTTGCATCACACACGAACCTGTTTCCCCTCAACAGAACAGCAAGGCTGTTCTCGGTGTAAAATAGCAAGTTTGGGAGTTTTGCGCCGGTGGTTGTTGTTTAAAAAGGAAAACTCGTAGATTGGGAAGTTTAACTTAGTAGTAGAAGTAAAATGATCAATGTATGGGGGGCAATCGAAGGGGGTTTGCTGCGGCGGCGCCGATCACTCGCTACTGCACTGGGGAGTGTATGTACGGGGCAGCTCCGGGGAGAGCAGACAACGGCGGTGGTCCAAAAGGTTTTTGCACTTGGCGAAGGAGCGTTGTTTTGATTGCGTTTTGAAAGTCTGCGGAGTTGCTGTGTTGGGAATTAGGCGGGAGGGCGAAATAGGAGTGGCTTCTGCGTTGGACCGGCACAACATGCGGGAGCGGAAACTGGCGGTTGCTGGTGCTGGGAGGCTGTGAAGCCGCTGCAACCCTTCGGCAGTTTAAAGAGACGCGGCGCGGCGAATTGCGTCTGCACTCAACTTCGCAAAACTTGCAAGAAGTGCCCCACGGGGTGTTCGAGACTCGGAGGCTCGGATCGACCGGCGTGGCGCGCAGCAGCGCAGCGCGGGGAAAGCGGAAAGCCGCGGCGAAGGCGCGGGCCGTCTGAAGCGGTCGAGTCCGCGCGGAAGAGGACGGGAGGGGCGGCGATCCCCACAGGCGGCGCGGGCTGGACCGGACTTGGGAGAAAAAGATGCACTGGCAGCTGGAGGCGACATCGGAAGGCAGCGTCAGCTTCGAGCCCGCGTCCAGCGACCCCTCCGCGTCTCTGCGAACCTCCAAGAGCTCTTCTTCGCAGCTGCGGGCTCTGGACGGGAGTCTGTCGGGGGCCCCGCGGCGGGCGCAGCGGCCGCCGCAGCAGGAGCCGGCGTCGCGGAGGCGGCGGTTCCTGCTGCCCGCGGCCTTCCTGGCGCTGGCGAGTTTCCTGCTGCTGGCGCTGAACCTGAAGATCCCGCAGCTGTCTGCGCGGCGTTCGGGGGCGGCGGCGGAGTCGCTGGCGGAGGGCCCCGCGGGGGCCCCCTTGGGGG